TCTCTCTCTCTCTCTGCTGTCTGTTGTTGCAACCCGGCTCTCATTGCATTAGGGCGCGTTCATTACAGGTTTGGGGTCCGAACTTCATTGTATGAGAAAATGGCAAAGGATGGAGAAAAAAGCGAGTGGAAGGAGTTTATATGGAACCCGAGGACGAGGGAGTTTCTGGGCAGGACAGCGAGCAGCTGGGGTGAGTACTGGTCCAGCTACAGCAATGCAGCAAACATGGTCCCTGGGCTCTGTAACAGGTCTCTGTCATAGTCTCTTAAACCTCTCCTGAAGGCTCACCGTGGTGCGTCAAGAGAGGACTCCTTCAGATATTAAAGAGTGTATTTATTATAACAATTTCACCCGGATAGAGCTCGGTTGGGCTGATGATTCCCCCTCAGTGTGCCTGTGATGAGATGTCGCTGTGCACTAATACATTCTGGACCTGAATCCTGAATGCGGCACCGCTCCTGTGGAAGCCGGCCGAAAAAAAAAAAAATCTAGTTCTGCCTAGTTTCTTTATTTATTTATTAATTTGTGGCGGTGATTTCCCTGCGCAATGCGCTCAACATAAGGGTGGAGGCATATGGTCTTATTTTACATCTGAATTAACCAGATTACTGCAGCACTGCTGCTGGAACAGGTTCCTCTCTGTTGCAAAGTGCACACCATCAGCTCCTCTCAGTGGAAGTGCTTTAGTTAGCTTTAACATGAATTCTGCTGCAGGGAAGACTTTTTTAAAAGGGAGAAGTTAAGCAGAAATATGTTTGCTTTCCTGCAGCTTTATCTAATGAGCATTCAACATGATGTCATTCATTTGTCAGGCTCTCCCCCCCCCACCCAGAGATTTTGAGGGAAAATCCAATCCCAGTTTCTATGTAACACAGGAGTATTGCCATAAACCGTCCCCTTTTCTGCCATACAGCCAGCCTGCAACTATTTCAAACATTCATGAAATGATAGGGCGCATATGGCTCTGTTCTAATGACATTGGAGCGTTTTAATCTGGGTAAAGCCGAGGGCCAAATGCTATTTGTATCACCTCCAACCCGGCCCCTCCCAGTGAGTGTAAATCAGTGAGGGATTTAATCCTAATCTAATGACTTCATTGGCTGATGGGGAAGGTATCAATTCAGGATGTAGGATCTAGCAAAGTAAATCACTTTCAGGAATTTATTTTATTTTTGATCTTTCACCGGGAACAGGATCTCGATGGCAACAGAGTTTGTGGTTGGCGTAATGCTGACAGTGATTTTACTTGCAGTGGTATTCTGGTGATAATGTTTCATGAATGGACATTGTACTATTAGTGCAAAGTTGGAAATCAATGACTATAGCTTCCTTTGCTGGAATCCTCCTGCAGTGTACGACTTAATCCAGCTCAGTGCGTCCCAGGTGCTTTAAGGTCTGGTGGCCTTTTTAAGCTGTGCTCTCTAAGGCTTGTTAATTAGGCTATTTCTGTAGTTTGCCACTACATGTAGGCCTGCATTTCACCTCAGTACTTTCTCATTTCCTGATGTTGCATACACTGTATGTACTGTACCTCTACTTCCACTTCTGCAGTCCATCCCTCCATTTTCTATAGCCACTTATCTCAGCATGCACTGAGAAAACACCACTGTCAGGTTGCCAGTCTTTTTAAAAAGCAAATCTGTTGTTCATACTTAATTATGCAGTGTAATGTATGTTCAGAGGAGCAGATCAAAGGCTTCTTTGAGGATGAAACACATAACCCTTGCTTGTGTGTTCTGCTTTGTGTACAGAGCTAATGATATGGAAATAGCCTTGATAAAGTAGAACAGTCCTACAATTTTGATGTTACGTTGCCACCAGCTGACACCGGGCAAACACGGTCAAACAACTACCTCTATCTAAAAAAGGACTAATTAAGTGTTCTGCACCTCCCACTTCCAAAAAACAACAAAAGGCTCCTACTGCAACACAGCCTCAAAGGACCAAATAAGCAACAAAACCATGAGGCTGGTCTTGGTGTAAGATTGCAGACCATATGCAAGATAATAAATGGTTTAACATTAATAGAACCACAGCTCAAAGCTATTTATTCTTTTATTTTTAGTTTGATTACAATTTTACAAAGCAATTGAGCAGCATGTCCTGCTAATTAATTCTGAAAGAAAAGAGACACCTCCTGCCATTATTACTGAAGAAAGGATAGGATGCTGGACCATCCCGCCCTGGCCTTTTATTCTTTGCTTTCAACTGCCGTCTGCAAACAAAACCAGGGTGAAAGAGAGATGCCTCCCTGTCCATCATCAGCACGGACTGAGAGGGCAGACTGTAAACCTAACACCCTCTTTGCCAGGGGGGAAGCCACCCTGGCTGCACGCTCTGCCCTGTATGCAGCACGTGTGTACATCCAGTTTCCCCTTGGTGGTTTCATATTTGTGGTAAGCACAACACCCCGTCTGGATGATGGAAGAAAACACTTAAACACTTATCTCTTATCTCTGATGCCTCGCTCGCTGTAGTGCCTCCGGCTTGGTCAGGGGCCCGGAGAGCTGACTCTGTATATATTTAATGACTCAGCTTGGGTCTTTTCCATGCGACAGACGGGACGCTCTCTGCCATCTTACTCAGCCATTCATTCATGTCACCTCAGATTCCAATAATTCGAGAAACAAGACCGCTCTCTGTAATTGGCCCCTGTACAGCAGCTTCCCCCTTGACATTTTGTTATGGATTCCTGCAAGCCTGGCTGTGTGGGGAGGCAGATGCAGCGTTGAGCACTGCTGACGGAGCGAAAGGGCTCCACGCTGGGGGCCATCCAGCAGAGGCACAGGGGTCAGGGCACTCAGTTGCTACCCAATGCTGGCCTCAGGTGTTGATGCTTAAAATGAGGGATAGAAAATGCTATTTATGTTTTCCTGCTCTCTCTGTAGACAGGAATGCCTGAGATGGGACCAAACAACTGCTTCAAAAGCATTTGATTTCCAAGTAGAAACAGCACATCATTGGAATAAAACCCGAATAAAATACATATACAATTTTGTATATGTACATTGTCCATTTATCAAGCAAAAGTTCCAAACATTCACCAGCTCCAGCTTCTCAAATGTGAAGGTTTCCTTGAATTTGTGAAATATATCATGTACGTTAAATATATTTTGGTATTGGACTGTTGATTGGACAGAATGAGCAATCACACGATGGAAATAGTGATGTCACTATTTTTTACCATTAATCAGAAAACAAATTTATCGCCCAGAAAAACAATCATTAGTTGCAGCCTCGCTTTCTGTCTAATGTAACATTATCACTATGGTCTTCTTACACTGTTGATAAAAGAGGCCTACTCTATGATGGCCAGTAATCTCTGACCCTGTGGCCCAGTCTCCAGGGGGTCCTTGTTCTCCCTCCTCCTGTGTCACTCTCTGTCATCGTTCCTCCCCCTCTGTGGACAGGGCAACTCTTTAATGAAATTGGTAGCCATCCAATCCTGGTTTAATTCTCACTGTTTCTGGCTTGGGGTCGGACCACAGTTCTGTCAGATGAGTGCGAGAATGTGAGGAAAGAAAGCATAAACATATAATTTATGTTTTTCATTAAGCAACAACAGTGACCTCATTTCCGGCCATGTTGTGCAATTAATGATATTTTAAGGACCTAAAGGATGGTTGTTCATGTGTCAGTGAGATAAAAAAGAGGCAGATGTTGCAGGCGGAATGAAGCGCCTGTAGTTTTATAAGGATTAACTGGCCTCCTGTAAATATGATTTGGTTAGAAAGTGACCACACAGATAAAACAACCCAGCTGGAAACTGACTCCATTATCAATTTAGATATAAGATTATTCATACTCATAATCTGTGTGATAATTATGAAATGGACTGCAGATGTCTGGCCAATGTAGCCATGAATCAAAAACTTTTCATTGTAATGCACAGCCACCAGCTCCATGACAAAGACAAATCTCATTGTTTTTTCTTTAATGCATAATAAATCAGTAAAGGCATGAGGCTCATGCATTTATCGAGCAAGCAACACATAAACACAGGCAGTATTACATTGTGTTTAGACACATTGGAGAGCTGATAACCAACCACAATGTCAAGTTCAGTACATATTACTGAATTATTTTCTACATATCCACATTATTTGTCCAAATCTGATCAGAAGGGAAGGAGTGCTGCTAGCAGTGCTTCTCTAGCATCAGTATGCTGAAATAACAAACTGCTTGCCTGTGTAATGCTTAGTTTAACAGTATTCTCAATGAATAGTTGTTTTTTATACATTTGTTCTTAGACAATACACGCTAGTTACTACAAAGACCAATTTGCATGTTTAAAGATGGAATTTAACTAAATTTAATTTAATTGGAGTTAAAAAGAAGTTAAGACTACAAATACGAATACAGAGTACAGTGAATGCATCACAATTTAAAATGACATTAAGTGTAAAGCAACGTTTGTAAAATCATACAATTAGCTAACAATGTAAAATAAAAAACAAACATGTCTTTTTGCATTTAGCAAGGGTACTAGTTAGCTCCTAACTAGTCTCATAGGCTTAGTTAGATATTACTTTAAAATATGAACTCAGGATATGTGAGACATGTTTATTTCTTTTGGTAGGGTATCTGTACAATGTTAAATTAAATAGTATATATTCGCTTTATTATTTATATGCGTATTATTTACCTTTTCTAAATAAGCTATAGATCTACCTATTTACTCTTGAATAAGCTTAAAATGCACAGCAAATCTGTTAAACTGAATAATCTGTGATAATAACTGAATTTCTCACTGATATTGCATACAGTTGATACAACTCTTCTCTCTTTTTCTGCAGGTCTTATTCTTCTCTTCTATGTAGTTTTCTACATCTTCCTGGCTGGCATGTTTGCACTCACCATGTACGTCATGCTGCAGACCTTGGACGACCACAAACCAACGTGGCAAGACAGGCTCTCCACACCAGGTGCAGTAACTAATAATGACACCAACTGCACGAACACAGGTCACAGTCTGTGCCGTGGTGTTGTGAACTCCCCTGCTGTCTCTCTGTCACTCACAGGCATGGTGATTAGACCCAAAGCAGATGAGACCTTTGAGATTGTCTATAACATCCATAACACTGAGAGCTGGGACATGTACGCTCAGGCCCTGGACAAGTTCCTGGCACGTAAGTCTGCTTCTCGTACAGTGACTAAAAAAGCTTACTGCTGTGGATTATCCAACGATCTAGAATGAATTGTTTTTACCTAATAGTAGATAATTCCTTTACAGTCAGCGGGTAGGAGATTGCCTTGCACCAGGGTTTTAGTTGAGTCATAAGCTCTTACAAACAAAATAACCCGCCCATCCCTCCCGCTGTCTCCCCCTGCAGCCTACAACAACTCCGTCCAGGCCCAGAAAAATGACGAGTGCACCCCAGACCAGTACTTCGTGCAGGAGGACAGCGGCGATGTGAAGAACAACCCGAAGCGCTCCTGTCAGTTCAACCGCACAATTCTGGAGGAATGCTCTGGAATGAATGACCGTTACTATGGATACGAGTCGGGCAAACCATGCATCATCATCAAGCTGAATCGGGTATGAAAGAGAAAGAGGGAAAGGAAAGGGATGGTGTTGCTAGGAGACATGGAGTGACTGAGATAATAAAAACTGGTTGGGAATGAGGAAAACATTATATTGGTAAAATAAAAACAAAGTCAATATCAAGATTATGTTGTCTTGTTCTCTCTCACCAGGTGATTGGGATGCTGCCAGGAAAGGATGGACAGGCTCCGTATGTCACCTGTGGTGCAAAGGTAATCCCTTTTTGTCTTTCACAATGAAAGGCGTAATATAACAATTTGGATTTCAGCCCATTCATAGCTATTGTGTCTCACTCTCATCTGCAATATGCCACCGGTCGCCCATCTCCATTATCTTTCATCCATCTGTTTATATTGTTTCATCTATCATATCGGTGTCGCATGCCACTTTGTCATTTACACCACTTGTCTTTTTTTCCATTGTGTTCCATTAATTTGCTCACTCAGAGATACAAAGTTGGCAAAGATGAATGGGTAAGAACAGGGAAGAATCTGTGTTTTTAGACTTTAGATTATGTTTAAACATACATAGTAGTAGTATAGATTGTAGATATATGTATAATATATGTATTGAGATTAGGTGTTTTGCATTAAATAGACTGCTGAACTAGAGTGTTGGCGTAGGAGATGAGAATTAGAGCAAAGAAGGAGCTCAATGAGGCTCACTTCCTTCTTTCCTACATGAAGTGATCTTTCAGGCTGTCACTGATAAAGTTGTTTTACCCCCTTAGAGAGAAGACACTGAAAAAATTGGAGAGCTGCTGTACTTCCCTCCAAATGGCACTTTCAACCTTATGTACTACCCTTACTATGGCAAGAAAGCTCAGGTAAGATTGTGTCCAAATAAATCCAAATATTGCTTCATTTGGTAAACAGTGCTGTTAATTACCGAGCAGCTTGTATAATGAATCTCCAGACAGTTTTTTAAAGATGTACCAGACAGAATAAATTAGCTCCTGTGCTTAAAGTTGTCCTTGGATCTGTTTTTACAGGTGAACTACTCTCAGCCTTTGGTTGCCGTCAAGTTCCTTAACATTACTGCCAATCAAGATGTCAACATCGAGTGCAAGATCAACGCCAACAACATTCCTATCGGAAGTGAAAGAGACAAGTTTGCTGGAAGAGTGTCTTTCAAGCTGAGGATCAACACTAATAACTAGGTTGACCTTTTTCCTCTCCTGAAAACTACTGTATTCATTCTCTGCAACACTGCACATACACAGAAACAAATCTCAGTATTCACACCCTTTTTAGGATTTGTTTACACCCCCCCCCAAATTTTGGGCGGAAATAGTTTGTCCAGTCATGTGAAGAGGTGAGGCGAGAATAAAAGGGTGGTAATCCTGTCATTATTTCTGTCTGTGAGCTTTGGGACGAATTATTTTCTGTAAATTAGTTTGAGATGACGTCTATTTATACTGCATGACAAACTAGGGGATGTAAAGGATGTGAACATGTGTTTTCAAAGTTTGCAAGGATCAGCAACATTTCCACTTTATTGCTGCTCCCCTCCTGCTGCCTCCTTATAGAGTATCCCTCTATATATGAATATACACAAGTTACAATCCAAAATGTGTATATCTACAGTATTTATATGGTATCATAACCTTATATCAGTACGTCTATTTTGTTGCACTTAAAAGAATAATCCAACAGACTCGCATATATCTTGATGGATGGATGCAGAGATGAAGCCATTTTGCATGTGTGTATTGTCTTTAGTGTGCTATGAGGGCAGGAGGCCCCTGTGTCCCACCTCTCTGCTAAGTGTGAAATAAGGTAATGTTAAGCCAGTGACCACCGGGGGGACCACACTGTAATCTATTAAACCTCACGCACAGCAAGTGTGTGTTTCTACCACAACATACAGTTAAGATAGGCATCTCCAAAGTTACAGTAGAGTTCAAAACCTTTAAGAGTGTGTGTGCGTGTGTGTGTGTGTGTTTGCGTGTGTGTTCCACTCACATTCATTTCATACTGTAGGTCGGGAAGTTGCATGCAATGTGCAATATTCATTAAGTGGCGTACACTATGAATGCTTGAGTCCATTCTTCAGATGAAGACTTCCATTAAATAATTATCATTTGATATTCACACTGGTTGTTTGACCTGAGTGCAATTTATAAAGCAAATGTGATTCACATTTTGGATGCCAAATTAATTATGATAGGAGGCAGTACATCAGTCATATGTCAGATGTATTACACCACAGTAAGTTGACAAAAACATGATTTATTTGGCCCCAAAACTCCTATTCAGTCAGTTAGCTCAAACAACCACCTGAATGTCAAATGAAAACAGCAAAAAGGATCCTCCTGCTGCGCAATGACGTTACACTCTCTGTCACTGTGTCGTAAAGTTAAACCAACAGCCATTTTCTAGTGTCTCAGTTAACATAAATATTTAGAGGTTTTTTTGCGTGTGTTGCATCTATTTCATATATCAGGAATAGATGCCTTTGTCATATTTTGTATTGATTTGCACTGGAAGTGTGCTTTTTTTTCTTTTTTGTGAAACTGAATTAATTGATGTACATTTTTGGAGGAATGGGATATAGAAATTTTGTGTTTGCTCCCTTTGTTTCATTCATACTCATTATAATCCTCTAAAATATTCATCCAGGATATCAAAATGTATAGTTTCCATATTCTTTTTAAGTTGACAATAGTCTTGAATATGAGTTGTTAGTGCGTCAGAGCTTTGTTTTATAGGTCTGTAGGAAATTATCAGAAATGGAGATTTGTTTCCTTGACCACACAGAAGGATATTTATTTTTCATTTAATTTGTTTTTTTGTTGTCATGTTCATCCTTATAACTAGACAACCAGTTTGAACAACCAACTTCATGAGAAGAAAAAAAATCATAGATTAGGCCTGAATTTGGTGCTGGAGCTGTTTACTTAACGTGCATTCATTGCGCAGTACAGGCACACAAAATTGTAAGAAACACCTGCAAATATTGGCTAGAGAATCTGTGGAGTCACACTTTTAAACTCAGGCACATTATTTTGGCTCAGCCACAAACGTGTACCAATGCGACTGATTCTGCCATGTCATCGCAGCAAATGTGGAACACAAGCATCTGTTCACTCACATTAAGGTCTGGCTCGACTCCACCACTCAATTTCTCTCAGAGCAGCGTGTTTCTCAGTATGCTCGCAAATGCATCCCAGTGGTCTAAATAGGAACTCATTATCTGATCCAGACGAATGAAAGAAAGACAATTACATCTAATGTGATTGTCATCTCATTCATGATGAAGGATGTACTCTAACAGTCACTTTTTTCTCTTTGGTTTTTCGAGACAGTCCACCAACCAGTTCACATGCATTTCTCCTCTGGGACTCCTGCAACACTTACTTAATTTCACTGTAATCTCTTAATCTGGTCGGCTAATCCAGAGCAGGCTCGCTGAACTTCTTTACCCTACTTTGTCGCTCCTCCTCCTCCTTGTGTCAAACGGCTGATTCACTCTCAACATGCTCAAAACGGATAAAGCAACATTTCTTAACTCCTCATTTAATTTCCCCCCCAACGCATTCAACCCTATTTTACTTAATCACTAATAAATTAATTGAAGTCCTTTTAAATCACAACGCAGCTAAACAAAATGTGCTTCATCATTTAATTGGACATTCTTGTTTCACTCATGTGCATGTGAAGATTAGTTCTTCAACCAAAGATCTTCATGACAGTTTAAATTTTATTTATTTGTGCTGCACTGACACATCCTCAGCATCAGATCCGATTAAGGATCTCATGCAGGTGGAGGGCTGAACACCCTGTGTTATTAAAAGGCCTACTCTTATATAATACGCACAAAAGGAACATGTTTCACTACAACATAACAGTGCCTCCTGGTGGACAGACTGTGTTGTTCCCCCAGTGTCACAGAATGTTTTTTCCAATTATCTCCATTTGTCTTCTTTTTATTTTTTTGTGATAATTTGGAGATGTCCTCAAAAAGCAATATATTTATTTCTTCTGTGGCTGTATGATGTATTTATTGGAAAGGCTGTAACAAAATCAGTGCAACATGTTATCATCCAGACCAAGAAAGAAAACGGAAAGATATTGATATTGCATTGCGGCAGTTTTGCTAGTGTGCATTATCACGATGGAAGAGTATAAAAAGTAGTGTTTTGTTTATAAAAGAGTATTTTTATTGCTATTTTGTTGTAAAGAGGAAAGAAATGTATAAGCTTGGATTGTATTTTGTCATGGGAGTTAACTGGTAGGTTTTCATCATTTCATTCAACGAATGGCAACATTTTAACAGCTTGGTTGGAGAAGTTTTTGTTTTTTATGTAGAAACATTGTTTTGTTTGTGTCCTTTCTACTCTCTTAAATTGAGCTCTGAAGCTTGCACTGAATGTTCTCTGAACACTGAGGTCTATTGTATCCGAATTAAGTTATTAAAAGTACGGCGAATACGTCAGAATGAGCTGTGCTTTCAGAGAACTTTCAAGTGTAAAACCTTCAGAAATTCTCCAGAAGAAAAACACAACAGGGCCCAACACAAATGTCAGAGAGAGTCAACTATTAATGTTTCAAATAAGGAATAATCTTCATTACCCCCACCTAACCCCCTTGTCTTAAATTGAAGACTGTGGTGCAAGGATAGTTCAAGAAAGAAATCCATGAAATTTGTTGTTGAGATACTCTCACCCCAAAAGGATGATATTTCTATTCTGGATCTTTATTTTATGCTCTTACTGTATGTATATTTTTGCTCATGTTTACTGCAAACCAAGATAGATAAATTAATAAATGTCATTTAAGGGAACTCAGACTCGCGCCTCATTTTTGCCTCTGCCTCTCAGTCATCTCTTAGTGTTTGGTGTTATCATAGGATGACAGAAGGGATTTGATATTAGGGGACAGGCACTGAGATTAAGGTGGAATGAGCACAATCCAAATCATTTTATCATGGCTCATTATGAATATATATATATATGAATATAATGTAGAATGGCCTCTGTAGGGGACAGAAAAAGAAGCCAGCCAATGTCAAAAGTAGCGTCAGGTGGATATAATCTTATGTAATCTCATTCCCCTTAATCCTTACAGCCTACATCCCTACAGCACCAGTGGTCACCAACGGTAACCTCTGCACACATACCAGTAACAAGTAGAAGAAAAAGAGGAGGTCCAGCCTTCCATGTGACTGGCCTACGCTTGGAAATGTGTGGATCCTGTTTTAGGTTGGGCTTTTTTTTCTCATTTGGGAGTTGCTTTAATACAGTCTACCGCCGACTGCTTGACAAGATTACAGCTGAAGTGTACTTCCGCTTACTGACCTTCAACCAACTCTTGTCTCCTGTTCACTCTCGGGCTCTATTCTTATCTCTCGATTCTTCACTGTCTCTTCTTGAGAAAGAGAGAACACAGTGCGGGGAAAAGGGAGAAAGCCAGGATTACGTAGCATTAGAGGTACTTGTGGGTTTAAAATAGTGTGATCAAGAGTAGCACCTGTGTCAAATACTTGTGCACGCTATTCTATCTGTTACACACACATCCTATATATTACAATACTGAATAATCTGCAACCCTTTGGTGCTCATCAGATCAGGGCTTTTTCTAATATTTCAGCCATGACATAATATTTTATTACAGACAAAGAGATATTATGAAGGAAAAGCCTTTTGCATTAAGGTTCAAAAGCCTGTTCATATCCACAAACTGTGCCCAGGTAGGAGGGGCACACCTTATATCCCTGATGTTAGGAAAGTAAAGATTAGAGTTCTGGACCCTTTCCTAGAGAGTAGATAATATTACACAACAGTTCAGTGGCATTTAAATGTCAAAGTTCTTACATTACTGGACCAAGTACGTCAGAAAATATGCAACTAGATTCTCTCTTCTTTTTTCTTTTTTCCCAGATATTTAATCATTCTGAACATGATACAAAAACTCACAGTGTAAAACTGAAAATGAATACTCCACACTCACAACAGAGTTACTGTGAGGATCATATTGTCCTTTGTTCAGTACATATTTGCGTGTAATATCTCTCTAATCAGGATAGATTGGTCCCAGATTTTAGGGCTACAAAGCATCTAGACCTAGCCGGTTTTGAGGTAGCATACTAAATCACAGAGTACAATTAAAACAACAGTCATTTTCAACAGAATTTGAATGTAAAAAAAAAAAAAACAATCACATAGTGTGGTTGGCACAAAAACATGAACTGTGCAATCTGATGCAATCCATTACAAAATCCCTGCCCCTGTGACACAGCCTAGAGAACATTATAAGCTCCACTAATACTTTATTTACTGCAGGGTTGCTGCCATGGATTACTTTAGATGTGTGGTGTTCATGCTATTGTGTCCACCTGCTTAAATAATTCACAATCTGTGTCAGCTGCCTCCTCCTCTAAGTTGTGATCTCATATAATTTGATGAGGAATGTCTACAGACTGAAAGCAAACTGACTTTCAGCATTAGTTGATTGTTGACACGGCACTTTGGTTGGAAGGAAAAAATATGGCACGTGTGAATTTTAGTGGTAAAAAATCAAGCCTGTTCATGTTTCCTTGGAAAGTTGAGACCTCGCTTGTAGCTAGACGTTCATGTGTGATGCCCATAATATCTTGAGGACGGTACAATACATGGTAAAACAGTGGAAGCTGTTTGTCCAGTCGGATAGCCCCCTTTACTATGGCAAGTCCAGCATGCCATTTTCCTCCAGGGCTTTCTGCGTCCTGTCATAAACTTCTCCAATGGCCTTAACCACTTTGATCAGCACTGCGCTCAGATCCTCTTGGTTCTGCACACACACCAGCCTGAAGAAGAAACCCCGCTCTGGCATGGCAATGAAGGCCAGCTCGGCAGCCCTGCGTACAAACCAGGCGTGGTGGTTCGCAAGTGTGTTCTTGTAGGCCTCACGACACAGCTCTGAGGGGCTCCTGAGCCGGCCGGCCACAGGTGTCTCAGCCAGCTTCTCCAGAAAGAGCTTCAGCCAAAGCAGAGCGCGATGCAGACGCAGAAGAGTCCGGCATCCAGAATCCGTCTGGCGGTCAAAGTCCACCAGTCCTTGGCTCAGCTCCACCGAGATCATGGAGCGCACAGAACGATAAGCACCAGTGTACTGTGAGGCCTCCAGATTGTTCTCTGTGTTCACAGTGTTTACTGAGTGAACATCTAGGCCCAGCTCTTCTTCAGGGTTCTTTTCTGCCAACTGGGCTAGTTGTCGGATTAAAGAGGTCTTGCTTTCTATCTCCTTAGATATCAGTCCAACCATTGGGCCCAGAGCTTCCATAAATCTGGTAGAGTAACACAGAACAGGATGAATCATCTTACAGAGTCCAGATTATCCCATGAACCATAAATTACATAATTTTTTCTAGTGGCTGTAAATGAATGTATCTCTTCTGCTTTATCTGATGATCTTACCTCACAAGCTCATCCCAGCTGGAAAGATACGGATGCAACAGCACGTCGGAGGTGTCGACCGGTGCAGCCAGCAGGTGGGAGACCAGAAGTGACACCTGGAAGGTCTGACCAGGGCACCCCTCCAGGACCTGCGGCCCATCAGCCCCATCGGCCCCGCTGCTGTTGTACAGCTGGTGAAGCTGACAGTGGGGGGATAGGAGGTGCATGAGTGCCGTGAGTGTGGGGGGCGATTGACAGGGGACAAAGAAAGAGAGAACGCGGAAGTGATTCACCACATTCAAATTGGCCATCTGCTCCACAAAATGAACCTTATGGAGGAAATGCAGTAAGTGGTGAACTGCTGTATAATCTGCTTGTGCTCTTACCTTGTTCTCCTGATTATAACCTTTTAAACAAGAATCCCAGTGGTAATCCAAACCTCCCTCTGCAGTGAGACATCGTAAAGAGAAACAAGACAACAGTTGATTTTTGTTTGTATTTTCCCACTGAAACTAGACTTGAATGCTATGTTTCAAATACAGGGACATTCTGAGCTGTATGGGTGTATTTATCACATCCAAATTATAGGTTTGCATCTCTAAATTAATTATTAGGAATTAGGGGCCAATGGAAATTTCTGTACATTAAACCTACAATTGTAGGTGTAATTGTTTTTAGGACACTAGGGTGCAGCAGAAACAAGCTGTGAACACAACACTGACATATCATTCACCTTTTAAGTTGATATGGCGAACAAACAGTTGCTTATTACACATCCAGCAGTTGACCATTCGAGAAACATCGTCCTTCATTTGGAGTCATGTTTCTGGCAACCTGAAGAATCCAACATTCAGTCTCTTTCAGCTACAGTTTTGGTCTCTACCACATTCTTAAGTAAATATGTCCCTTTAGCTGCTAAGTGCTCCACTATGTTCTCCAGCTAGTTGCTACCTGTGTCTGTCTGCTGTTTGATGTTGAATGTATAGTGGGTTTTTAGAGGTCTTTCACAAAAAACAGCACTCAGAGAGCAGAGAGCTTGAATCAAAAAAGTAAAGTTGCAGACTGGAAAGCTTAACAATGAACTGAAACTCACTATAAATCTCTATAAAGCCAAGGAGAGATTCAGATAATTCTCTATAGGTTTATCACTATGAGAACCCCTTTCACAATGTTTTCACATTGTCATTTGATACATTGTAATATTCATTATAGCCGCTTTAAATTGGATGAGAGCATAATTTCTTTTATAATGGCTCATTAACATGCATTACTGTCATGTGACAGATCTGCTATCTTCTTAATATGGGAAATTATGGCTGACTCTTACATTATTGATTAATTTGAGTTATGTTTCAAATCATTCTGTACAGCATACAGCACAAAGACAAGCATTCAAGATAAGCACACATTTGTGCCCTATTGGGCCACAAGACCCTTACACACACCTTTATTATACTATATAGCAAGATAAGTTGTAGCTATAAAAATGTCCCAGTATGTGAAGTCAGCTTACTGAAGTGAAACTAGTTCTCGGTTTCATTTTGGACCTTCTGGCATTGCCTCAGGAGCCCTTGCAGGTCTCCAGACCACATGCTATTGACCAACTTACAACCAAAAGCTGCCAGTGATATTGCTCACAAATCTGGTGTGTGTCTGCAGCAGAAACACCCCAAACGATCAGCCCCCAAACTGACTGTGGAGGACCCTGCTGAACTACTGAGCTTCCTGTCACATTGTCTCACTGAACTACCAAACTCCCTCAGTTCAAGTGAAACACAGAGTCATGTCTAACAGCTGTCAGAAATGTATTTCCAACTTGACAGTGGCAAACTGTAGAGTAGATGCCAAAAATGTCAAGAGGAATGTGAAGTCTAGCCATGACAAAATAAGAGCTGTATCTAAATTTAAGTTTCTTAATTTACTTAACTACTGTTTGAGGAGGCAGAGCTGGTTGTTCATGCTTCCATTTGAAAACCTTTAAACTCAGTTTTCAGTCTGACTCACAAATCTCTCGAATTTAATCCAAGCTTGAGAAAAGGATCACATGGTCACAGTTGAAGCATTTTTACACTCTTTACCAGTTCCTATGAAATGTTTTAAGTTATTATCTTACACTAAAAGATACTTTTTTCTTTTTGTTATGAGCTGTACTTTATGTTGTCAAACTATAATTCTAAGCCAAGCCGAGGTACAGTTAAATATTTGTGGAGACTTCTTCAAATAGACAAAGATTCCTTTGTCTAAAAAATAGCATCACGTGTAAATATTCTCTGTTCTATTCAAGGCAATCATTTATCTGACATTATTGAAAATAGATTAAATAAAAAATAAGAGTAATTTTGTCATATCACATTCTGATAACATGTCAAAATCCACATATGAATGTTGTTAAAATTATTCGTGAGAGTAAAATTTGGTGGTGCGACCACCATGCTTGATTCTGCACCCACACAACATGTGACACATTCCTGATCTGGAGCATATGCATTTCAAACAAGGGAGGGATTCTATAGATTAGCAGTACTACATAGAAACCACACACGCGCAACACACACACACACACAGAAATACTCACGGAGCCACAGGGAGCCGAGGAACAGCAGCAGGACTACGATAGCTGCAGCAGCCTTGCTTTTAACACCCATTCTAAAGTCTAGTTTTGGGTCTGCCAGTCCCTCTTTCTCTTTGTCCCTATTTTTAAATTCTTCTGTCTCACATGAGTCCTTGTCCCCTTGCACTGGCTGTCACCACAATTACTTCCTATCGGACCCCTGCCTCTGACCCCCCCTCCTGTTCTCTCAAATCTTTCATACTCTTCCCCAAAACCCTAAATAAAAGGTCCTCTCAACGTCAGAGAGATTCTATCAATGTTTAACTCTTATTTTATAGCTACTGCTGTCCCTTGCCACACTATTACAACTCAGTCTGTTATGGCTCTTTCTGACTTTCCCTGATTCACGTCTCTCCTCTGTCCTGTCTTTGTTTCTAACTGGTTTGGAAGCTGCCTGTCCCTTGTTGTGTTGCTCAATCTGAGGGTCCAGAGATCAGCCGAGGGCAACCACTGGCTGATAAAGCATAGCCAACGCAGCTTGTCCGCCAGTAACCCCTTCCTCCAGATTCATCTTCTAGATATGCGCAATATTCCTGGTCAGTTCGAGTAAACACTTGCTCCCTCTCCTCTCCTCCCACCACCCACCCTCCTCCCACCTCCCTCCTCTTGCTCTCTCTATAACTCATTCACACACACACCATTAAGAGCACCACCACAACCACCACACATTACAGCAGTGCCGACACACATTTCCGGAAACATGTTGGTTTAAATGAGAGTATAACATGAAACATATGACTCTCTAAACTTAGACAAATGTATTTCCCCACCACCACTTTATGTTTATTTTTATTACTTTGTTAAAGTCATGACAACCCAGGGTAAATTCTTTGTATTGATTTATTTTGTGGGATAAGACAATCTCCTTTTGGTGGCTAAACAGAGATACCAAATTCATGTTTGTCAATGAATAACAAAGTCTAACCAAGCTTATCCGAGCTGAGACTGCAAAAAGAAAATGTCCATTCTTGCCAATCTAATTCTAAATATTACAAAGACATTTGTAGCTTCACAGAACAAAGGGGGGAGCAAACAAAATGAATGTATATATATTAAATAATAATAATTAAGATTATAACATATCTTTTGCAAAAATTGGTTCATATTCTATTCTATTTTTTCTTTCTAAATGCTCATTATTTCAAGTCTTCATTTGATTATTGAAGTCCAAAGTCTGAGACGTGTCAGTAAAACAGGAAGACGGGTGTTCCCGAGATTATCACTATCAGGGAAAACCCAGTGATTGGTCCCTATCACTGGGTTTGCTGCCGCTGCTGTGGGGGGAGGAACAGACATTGAACGCCACACTCAAGCCAAACCACATGTGTGCTCATCAAGAGGGACTTAACAATGGTATTTTGCAGCGAGGGAGCGGGAAAGTAGTGAAAGCAGGGGCATTAATGACTTGCTGGGAGGGGCCGGTCATGGGGCTTTTAGTCTGTGCAACCAATGGATGATCCCATCTGAAAAAGGCAGCGACTGACAAGGACAGACTGAATCCCTCTCAAAACATGTGACTTTTTCAAAAGACTTAAACTGATTGACTCCCCACAGCTGGTACTCTAACTAATGTTCTGATCAAATAACATACATTTTAAAATAGATATAGTTTTTATGTTTGACATGATGCACAACAGCACAGTAGTAGTAGACTAAAGCACTTGGTATGAATTCACACAGTGTAAGTATGTTTAAGTTCAGTAGAGCAGGAAAGAGGTATTTTGTCACTGTCAAATACCACCACACTGGATTTTCCATCTGAAGAGTCAAAACATTTAACTACAGTACCAGGATTATCTTTTTAATCCAGTTTGGTAGTGTGTTAAAATCCTAGGCTTCGACAAAAGTATAACGTTTAAATTTAAAGGTCCAATATGTAACATTTAGAAAGATGTAATGGCAGAAGTAACATTCAGAGGTATGTTTTCATTAGTGTATAATATATGTATTTTGTTACCTTAGAATGAGCTGTTTTTATCTACTGACGCCGTTGGTCGCCTTCCATGGAGGCCGCCATATTTCTACAGTAGCCCAGAAAGGACATGCAAAGGCCTAGATAGGGCCTTTGCATTTCATGCCGCCACTGTAGTTTCTTCCTCAGGCTTGGAAGGGGAGAACAAAGTGAATCTGCAAATACATTGCTAGAAGCCACTAAATCCTACACACTGGCCCTTTAATATCAACAGACATCACCAGAACTGGATGATTGAATATAAAGGCAATAGTACAAACATTCAGAAGCAAAATTAAAAAAAAAAAAGAAATACGATTGTTAGTAGCCACATTTCCACCCAAAGCACCAGGAACTTTGAGTCCCAGATAGGAAAGGAAAGGTTCCTTCAGCCTGTTGTAAGTTTCCACTGCAGTCTAAAGACATGGCAAAATTAGACAACTTAGGCAGCTGTCGTTTGAAAAGTAAAGAGCTATTTTCACAAGTTTTTGTATGCAACTACACAACAAAGATGACGTCATATAACACGTTGGACAGTCATCATTGTTTGTGCCACACCGTTTCTAATTCCTGTTGGATTTTGTCCAAGGCCTGGACTTTGTTGTCAGCCCATCTGTCGTATGATTTCTTGGTAACTCCATGTGTTGAAGCACAATGAACAAAAAATGGTAGTTTTATAATAAATGCTGAAATGCAGTACTCAACCAATCAGAAACGTATTCAGTTGGATGCAGGGCCCCACACCCAAAGATCCTTGTGAGTTTTTTGATAAGTACTACCCCCCGCGCCCCCCGGAGCAGTCGATGTTGTGTGTGTTTGGGTGGGTTAAAATACTGTCGCCGGCGGAACTTAATTTAGACCCTGGTTGCTGTGGTAGGAATTCACTGAGCTCCTGTAACCCCTAGTGGCTCCTGAGCTGAGGTAAAACCTTAGTCTGCATTCTCAAATTTCAAGCATTTAACATTTAATGTAAATCCCAAACAGAGATTGACGTTATGAGAGTGGATGAGTGTTTATAGAGTCACAGCACATTTTAAGCCATTTACTTATATGTGTTGCACTGTTGTAACATGCACTGCCAATTTAAAAAATGTTGTCATTGCATTCTCAAATACAGTTCTTGGTCCAACCGCATTAACTCTACAATAGTTTGAAGCCTCTGATTCACTGGATGTGGCTATATTTATAACACTTGTTATAAAAACAGTAACACACACCTGTCTGATATTATGCACAGATAGACCTCAGTTATTTTAAAGGTCCAGTGTGTAAGATTTAGGAGGATCTATCAGCAGAAATAGAACGTAATATGCATAACCATGTTTTCATAAGTGTATAATCACCTGAAATAATTATTATTTTTGTTACCTTAGAATGAGCCTTTTATATCTAGATGCCGGAAGTCGTTTTCCATGGAGGCCTCTATGTTGAACTGCTATGTTTCTACTTCAGCCCAGAACAAACAAACCAAATACTGGCTCTAGATTGGGCTGTTTGCCATTTTTTTCGACAGCGTTTCACGGTCCACTGTAGTTACCCCTTCACAAACAGAAGAGGCTAAGTTGAGGGAGGTGCAGTCAACACTGCTAGATGCCACTAAACCTCTACACACTGGAGCTTTAAAGGTTTGCAGAAAAAATACTTTTGTTGACTCTTTTAAAATGCATATTGTTTGTCTAACCAGCAAGCTAACTGCAGCTCTGCTCCAATGAACACATCTTTGAGGGCTGGACAGGTCCAGCCCTTCTTCTGTCTCTGAAGCTTCTAATCAAGTGTGAGTCACATAATCTGCCATCTGGAGGCTCCAGTTTACCTTAAAAGAAGCTCATCTCTGTTTCCCTTAAATGTTATATTTAGAAGTACATCACATCACTCTGCAACCTCACCATTGGCACAATTCCACCAATCCAGTCTGTTGCCCTTGTCACCGCCAAGTGACACTAACTTATAATTACTCACAGCACTAATTACAATATAAATTTAGTCTCTGGGATTTCAAAATGAGTAAAACATCCTTGATAGTCTGGTTTGTACTTTGTAGCATTGATGCCACTGCTGTGGGTTAGAAGTTATTGGACTTATCTTGGATGCAGATACAAGTATCTGTCATCCATGGTTTTTATGAGTTTTATGAGCATTGTCTGCCTCAAGCCCCTCCAACCCCAACACGCTGTGGTCTGCAGACACTCTCTCACTACTGGAGTCCCTGCTGTTGAAGTGGTAAGGCTCTGCTGTATGTATTTAAACCCTGGACGCAAGAGCAGGGGGGAGAGTGGGCCTGCACACCTTGCTGCACCCACGGGGTGATGTGCTCTCTGTTCTTCTTTGCTTTGTTTGTAAAGCACACTATTCTATTTATATTGGACAAAATATATAAGATATTATAATATATGTATATATATTATATAAATAATAAATTATAGTCAGCATCACTTTTTTTTGTGATTTTCTCAGTACAAGTAAAATCAACTAAAATGATCCATAAGAATAGGAATATTACAGGGGTATTAGAAATATACTATATGGGAGATAACAGCATAATCTCTAACTATTGCCTACATTTTGTCAAATAAATACCTTAATGTGTATAACTGGCTTGACCACAGATATTTGTTGTCTAATGATCATGATGATGGTTATTGTGGGTGACCGGTGTGTGACTTGAAGTCCTGGTTTAGTGCTTCCCAGCTGCTGTGTAATCTGAGCCATGGATAGCGACAGCCGGGGTGGGCGACAGTCGGGGGGGATTTAGGGCTCTTCCTGTCTGTCTTTACTCTCTCTCTTTCTCTCTCTCAAACCTAATATTTGAATATAGTGCAGTGCAGGGCAGTGGACAGGTTTTGGGACATGATGGCAGCTCGCAGTTTTGGGATATTCTTTGGAGTTGTAACTGTTCTCGGGACTTTAATGGTTCAGGGTAAGTGGCGCAGTGACAAACTTTTGGCACATCCTCATCGACTGCCTTCTTATCTATCAAAATAATCTTCTGCCTCTCATGTGCAGGCATAAAAATCAATGAGACAACCAGCTCTAAAAAAATCTACTACATTGATAGGTATGCCAGATAAAACTTTCAATATTTTAGGCCTCCTGAAAACTTTTTAAAGAGGAATTATCAAATGTATTTAGATAATTTTAACCAATTTAAAAGCTGAAAAAATCATTTTCTTTTTGTTTAGAGAATATCTGCAAGCAAACATACTGTATGAATGCTGTATATGTCTACAGTATATAGTGTACTATTGTAATGTACATATTGCTGTAAAGTGGATAAACACACGCACACCTGTACACCAAAAAAGACAGACTTAAAAAGTAAACCATATACAAAGCATTTTGGGGTCACATACAGTGAGTGCGCTTTTACTTTTACCATTTATACTTGCTGCATGACTTAGTATTATTGTGATTATAGTCATGCAATTAATCAGATAGGCGCAAAAAGGTAAGTTAGCATCAAGTAAGGCAGAAGGTCATGTGTGCTTCGTCATAAGAGCAGCAGCACTGGAGTGTGTAAAGCTGTTCTCGTTGGGGTTCTGCAACAGGAGGCCAGAAAGGCGACAGCTGCATCTTAAGAAAAAATTAAAGTCTGGATATGATGGAACTTAAAACAAACATATGTGGTTCTGCTTAAATTATTCTGCAAATCCATTGGCCTCTCAGGAGGGAAAAGTTTGACGAGTTGTGGGTGAATGCTTCCTGAGTCTATCTGATTGGCAGAGGTCACTGTGGAGTAGTTAAAAAAATTCCATAGTGACAAGATGCCACCATGGACGAGATTCATCATTAAAATGTAGACTCTTGATATTATTGGTTTGGCATGATAATCACATTACTTGAACTTGTTTGGGAACAGTGCTGTTGAATTGGTGTCCATTTTTAAACAGGGTGTCCCAACGCTGCTCAGCCTCCCTGACAGAGCATACATTAGGATGCTGGAAATAAGACAGAGGACTGTCAAACCATACACCCAAGAGGAACAATGCAAACTCTGTCTTAGATAAGCATTTTCACATTCTTTCTGATAAACATAGTCCAAACTGACATTATTACTGTCACATGAACTCGAGTGTAAGTTGTTGTCAGCTGTTTGGTCTCTATACACTTAGAGCAACGGCTGTACTTATAATCTTACAAACATACAGTCAAACTCATTGGAGGTGTGATATTAGCTCTGCCATCTTGACCAGAACATGATGTAAATGGTAAATGGGCCTTTCTAGTCTTCCGACCACNNNNACATTCCCCCTTTCACACACATTGGAAGGAAAAGTCCATCGTCCAGAAACTAACATTCATACACATTCACACATGGATGCACGATATCGGAAGCAATTTGGGGTTCAGTATCTTGCTCGACATGTGGCACCAGGAGCCGGAGATCGAACCCACAACTTTCCGATTAGGGAACGACCTGCTCTGCCTCTGAGCCACAGCCTAACTGGGAAAAAGACTGTAGTAGACTGGAATGCAAATAACTGATAACAAGGGCTGAGATGCTGGGCTGAACTCCTGCAAGAAAAGATGTCTAGGAAGACATACCAGACGCTTTCTTCCTCTTGCTAGATCAAATTTAAATCCCTCTGCCTCTCGTGTTTAAAATGGTCACATGAATAGAAGTGTGTATTGGACAATGGGACACGGTCAACTAGGGGGAGCTTGGCTTGCTTTTACCCCAATCAAACAGTGATGTTGTAATGTTTACCTGTGTCCATGTTGTTGTTATGATGTCTGCCTTCTGGTCATCTTAATGGGTCGGTTCAGCCGAGGTGTTGACATATCCAACCCAATAGGGCAGGGGTCACCTGTAGGCTCTGCCTCTAGTTTCCCATCACCGCTCTCCTGTCTCTCTTTCTGAGCAGGATTGAGTGTCAGCTGCAGGAAGTGACCAGGTCAAAGCATAGATGCCAAACATTGACTGTACTTTGTATCCACATATAACTGATCCACGTGAGTTTGCTGACTGAACTGCATTTAGAAGTACATCACACACTGTGTAACTCACACAAGATGCTTTAAAAGTCAGTGTCTTTCTCTCTCTGTCACATAGAGCTCTATTTACTGTTTATGGTATTTACAACATTAATTTAGTTTGATTGTTGGTTTGTAAATGTATGCAACATCAGTATTGCTTTGGAAATGTGTCTTTTCAGCCATCTACCATTAAACAGCTTGTTTACCTATTAATATACTTTTTTTTATTGATGAATACAAAAAATATTGAGAGCTATGCTTTTTTGGTATTATAGAAATGTTGTAGTATTACCAAAGCAGATACAGTAAGCAGGCTGTCATAAGGTCAATATATACTTAAAGTTGCCTACCACAAATAAATAGGAGTATTACTGCCTTACAGTGATTTATATTCTCTTAGATCTATTTATACCCTCTAAGCAATTCCTATAATCTTTCTATTAGTATTTGTTTTCCTCTGAAATTTGAGGAAGTACACACTGCATTTCACTCATTGTTACATCCGTTTTCTCATCCAAGTGTCAGGTGTAATATTTAAGAATACTCAATTATTAACTATTGACAAACCCTTGGGAAGTGAGACATCTCACTGCTGTCATTACACGGCCTACTACACAGAAAGTCCCATGGGAGAATTATGATTACAGCTCAAAACTATGTGACATATTTGTGCCTGATTGGACGAGGCCGACCCGGATATGAATCGATCATGGGGGTAGACATCTTTACGGCGTTGCAGTATGTACTACTGTCACCATTTTTGCCTAATGGTGATATTGATGATTATTGTAGATGACCAGAGAGTGATTTAAAGGCCCAAGTTTAGAGTTTCCCAGTTGCTGTGTAATCTGAGCTATGGATAGTGACAGCTGGGAGGGAAGAGGCAACAGGTCGGAAATAACCCCTGCCTTCTCTCTCTTAGTCTCTCTTGAAGTTTATACTGAAATAAAGTGTAGCCAAGGAGTTCAGCATGATGACTCCTTCATACACTGGCTCATCTCACTTTCCTGTGGTTGGTGTTTCTCTCAACACGTTAAAACATACACGTCATATTTACTTTCAAATGTTAAGACATTTATTGAAATTCCACAACATTTGATCAAAGATTTCAATCAACACAAAATATATTTGGAGACTGAAAACACAATACTGTTATAATTGAGAAAGATTAACCCAAGGTAAAAATAGTTCCAAAGTGTTTTGGATAATGTGGGCTGAATTAGTCATTCACCACAAGATGTCAAGTCATCTTAAAACTCTGTTTGAACCTGTTGGGTTTTTACAGTATATTATATCTGAGGAGAGATACGTGGTGTTTTACATACTGTATTAGTGCTTTTGTGTACAAACAAAAAGAGCATCTGTGCCAGATTTTTCTTGTCATTGTCATTAGCATTAATTACCTTAGAATGAGCCATTTATATGTACAGACGCTGCCGGTTGCCTTCCATTGAGGCCGCCATGTTGAACCGCCATGTTTTTACAGTGGCCTAGATGGACAAACCAAACACTGGCTCTAGATAGGGCTTTTATCATTTTTCGCGGCCACCCTAGTTCTTCCCTTGAGCCTCAAACTAACAACAACTAAACCACTAGATGCCACTAAATCTTACATACTGAGCCTTTAAAGTAGGATTTTGTAGAACGTTTGCTGAACACAGTAGCCACAGGTGATGTACATATGCACATAAACAACTCATTCCATGTCCCATCTAATTTTTTCATGCAGTGCAGTGTAATGAGGAGACGCATCTGATCAGCAACTTGTTCAAAGGCTACAACAAGAATATTCGCCCAGTGGTTCATCCTGAAGACAAGGTGGAGGTTCAGATCAAGCTGACCCTAACTAACCTTATCTCTCTGGTGAGAGCTCACTCTTCCTTGTTGTCCTTGAGCAACAGCTCTAAAAAGCAAATACACACAATGTTTAGACAGGAACAAGTTCCACATCAACTCAACACAGAGTTTTAGAAATGAACACATTGATAGCTGTAGTAGTCTTAGCAGTGCATGATCAACACCTACAGCTCAAATATTTATAGTGCTTCTTCACTTATACCACAGAATGAAAAGGAGGAGACTCTAACGACCAATGTGTGGATTGAGATTGTGAGTCTTCCTTCCCTTCATATTTATGCTTTTGTGTTGCCCGCAGTTGTGTCTAGCTTTAATGTCAGTGGTGACCTTTCCCTTAAATGTCATCTACAGCAATGGACTGATTATCGTCTTGTGTGGAACACATCTGACTATTATGGCATTGATGTTATTCGTGTCCCATACAGCACTGTTTGGCTTCCTGACATTGTCCTTGAGAACAAGTAAGGCAGTAACAGAGTGTAATCCTGCATTTTTTCTTTGCCTGCAGTGTGTTAATGCTGTTTTTTGTCTGTCATCAACTGTTTCTGTTCTTTATCCTCAATCACTGCAGCATTGATGGCAAGTTTGATGTGGCTTACTATGCCAATGTGTTGATCAGCAACACTGGTTGGATGTACTGGCTGCCTCCTGCTATCTATCGCAGCACATGTGCCATTGAGATCACCTACTTCCCATTTGATTATCAAAACTGCACGCTAGCATTCAGGTGTGGTACAATTATATCATTTAAAAATATATGTGCTATAGATAACTGCTGATTTATTCTATTTTGTAGATGCTTTACTATTGGTTTACCCCAACCAGGCTCTGTTCAGACACCCTGGGACAGATCTTTGCACCCACTGCCCAGTACAAAGATCTGCCTCAGGGTGCCAAGGTGGAGCCTGGATGTGGTAAACCAATAGCGTAACCCATTAGAGGGCTACACACATGCTCATAGAACTGAAGTTACATTCAGGTAACTACTATTATCTGGTCTATTCTATCCTCACTGCCACAACCCCTAGATCCCAGACGTACAGTGCCAATGAAGTGGACCTCATCTTGGCTGTTAATGAAGCAGGCGATACTATTGAGTGGGTGGACATCGACCCTGAGGCTTTCACAGGTACAGTACATCCATGCTTAATACTCAAAACACACAATTCCTCTCCAGTTTATTATGTTTTTGCCCCTCAGAAAATGGCGAGTGGGCAATTGTACATCGTCCAGCCAGAAAGATGATCAACACACGGTATTCTCCAGATGACCTTGAATATCAGGAGATCACATTCAATCTGGTCATCCAAAGGAAGCCCCTCTTCTACATCATCAACATCATCCTGCCTTGCTCCCTTATCTCCTCACTGGTTGTTCTAGCTTACTTCCTACCTGCACAAGGTCTGTAAAGCCATTGGCAGGTATTATTGCATAGATTATCATTGTTTCAAATGGGATAGTATTACAGGGATGTTATAAAATACCAAGTCTACCAAATTTATTTTAGTTACTCTTATACTGGTCATAATAAAAAAGACCAAAATTCAGAAGTAACCTTTTCTAAAATGTAGCTCAGTTGAGAACACTACAAGATACAAAGTGGTAGAAAACACTGGTACCACTTTGTTTTCAGTGTGTTGTTTCACCACTATCCCTAACTAAATCCAGATGTTATTACATTATAGTACAACTACAGTATAATATAATATATATAATAAAGTATGTAAATAAAATATGCTATGTAGCATTAGAGCACAGAGAATGAACTTAAAGTATAGGCTCCCAAAAACTGGTATGATTTTTTCATTTTGTGTGGTCCTCTGTCTCCTCCCTTGTCCCCTTCACAGCTGGGGGACAAAAGTTGACTGTGTCCATCTCTGTCTTGCTGGCTCAGACTGTCTTCCTCTTTCTTATTGCTCAAAAGATCCCTGAGACATCTCTTTCTGTCCCTCTCATTGGCAAGTGAGTCAGTGTGTGTGCTGGGTTTTGTTTTGGCTTCACTCAGTTTGAGTCTCCTTTCCAACACAGATCTTCTCTAATGTCTTCCTCAGGTACCTGATCTTTGTTATGTGTGTCACTACGCTCATTGCTACAAATCAAATTGTGGTACTGAACTTCTCCCTGCGCAGTCCCAACACTCATACCATGTCTCATACAATCAAACATGTGAGTACATCCTGTGCAGTTTAGTCCAATGTCTATTTAGGAGTTATTTTATGTGAAATAAGTACTGTTATCTGCATTCTTTAGGTGTTCCTGGAAATGGTACCTCGCTTCCTAGGTATGTCCCCACTGGTGGATGACAGTGAGGTGACAACAGCGGTAAATGGAGTAAGGGAGCGGCGGCGCAGCTCCTTTGGCCTCATGCAGAGAGCAGAGGAATATGTACTGAAACAACCTCGCAGTGAAATGATGTTTGACAAACAGAGAGAGAGGCATGGTCTCACGCAATCGATTGGTAAGTAGTATGTTTATTTTTAAAAGTAGGACCCAGGTCTGAAAACTGCCATTCAGCCCCAAATTGTTTTTTAAACACATAAACGTTGCTCGCACATTGCAGCTCAAATACTTGCCTAGATAGTACAAGTCATTAGCATTCTACTACAAGGTGAGTTTCATTGGAATGTATTGTGGCTTAATTTGATCATTGTGTATTAAATTGAATTGTTGTGTTAGTGCCCAATTAATTTTTTGCATAAAAATCATGGTACATGATTGTTTCTATCACATGTATTCCTATCTGTTATATTGGCCACTCATGTGTGCGTACAGGTGTATTGTATGTCATTCAACACAACATATTATTTTGCCTCATCAACATCAGGGATGCCTGTGTCTGCCTCAGATAATGCTGTGGCCTACTGCTTACTAACTGTTAGTGTCTCCTTCCCCCTAGTGGATAATATAGATGTCAGCAGCACAGCCAACCTGTATAAGAGTCTGGCCCAAGCTGCACCTGAGATCAAGCAATGCGTGGATGCCTGCAACTTCATTGCTGAGAGTACAAGACAACAGAATAGCATTGGATCTGTGAGTGTTACTTTAAACTTTATCTGTCTAGCCAACAGTTTTCAATGCAATTTCAATGTTTTGGGTGTCTATTTATTACATATTTTTCTATATATTTTAATTTTTTTTAGGCAAACTGATCTTAGTTCTGTTATCTCATTTGACTTTATCCCCAAATAAAGGAAATTGAAAGCTGGGTACTGATTGGGAAGATGATTGACAAAGTGTGTTTCTGGGCTGCCATCCTCCTCTTCATCTTCGGCACAGTGGGGATCTTCTTAACAGGACACTTCAACCGGGCACCTGAATTTCCATTTCCTGGGCAGACCAAAAAATATATTCCTAGTTAAAACAAAGCAAAAAAACCAAAAACTTTTCTCTGATGGGTCAGATGGGTCACTGTGCCTCATGCTGTCTATAAGGCTGAGCGCTCTTGCTCATTGAGTCCCAGGTTCAGATTCAGGATCAAGTTAGCAGGGCTTTAATAACAGAGATTTAACAACAGATCTGTCTGTGTTCATATTCACAGCTCTGACTTCTCTTTGTGAACACTTGCACACAGGCAGCTGAGGGGTTTCCTTCAAACTAGCATCTCAGTTCTCCATCTTAGTGTAAGTTCTTCAGATGTATACTTTAAATGGGTGCATTTGGATCCTTTATCATCCTCATCATCATCCTTAAAAATACCAAGTATAATTATTACTTGTCTATTTTGTGGTATAAAAACAGTCCAATTCACCACCATGCTGAGAAAGTTATTTCTGCTGTAAAATCAAATCAAAACTGCTATGGTTGTTAGCTAGTTTTAAACTGATTTTATCTACATGTGGTGTGCGAACGTTGCCACTCGTTCAATACATAACTTCATAACATATCTGCTAAAGTCTGGTTAAGTTCCCTCTGCATGTACAATGTCTTATGTGAAGAACCTGTGCATGTAACTTAAGCCAGCCAACTCTGAATCAAAGCCTTATTCTTCTTACTATGACCTATTTATTAGAAAGTATTGTTAGAGGTAGATGATTCAGGAGGATATTGTCTTGATTCATTGTGCCATGTTTTTTAAATAAATATTTTATTTTGTGCATCGTGACTGGTTTAATCAATTTATTTACAAGTGTGAGTCTTTCATACATCTGAGTGGACCTTAAGCATCTCAAAAATGTTCCAGAGGAGACTAAATGATCAGATAACTGTAATAAGCATTCAAAGGTGTTTATCCCTCTACTTATAAACGTAACTACGATCTGCTGAAAATGTAGTTATGATGCAAAACTGCAAGAATTCAACCTTATAAAAATGTAAATCTGTTTAATAATCTAAAAGTCTAACTTTTCAAGTTCATGTTCATTCTCAATATGTCTAGTTGTGGTACATCAGTGGGCCTTGTGCTCTATGAAGTATGTTCAGGTGAAAAATAAAGGCATACGGGCATTGAATAAAGTTATGTATTTTTTTAATGTATGTGTCAAATAGATGCTTAATAAATGTATTCCATTCTCAGTGCAATAAAACATAAGGTTAATTATCTTAAGTTACTTAGAATCTTTATTTATTCATAAACTCAGTGATGAGTACTGCTATAAATTATTTTTAAATCCCTAGTTAGACTTTTGGTGTTGTGTTGTGGTGGCTGAACACCTCCATTTGGTGTGAAAATGCACTACACCAAAGCAGACACACATTCATTGGTACGTCACACATTGGTACATTGATTTGGTTTAATTGTAAATGATCTGAGGGTCTCAAACTGTAATCATGTTGTTCCGCGTATACTTATATTTGTAAGTATTTGCTTTTATGTGATGATTTTTATTTTACTAAAATTTTGGACTGAAAAATAAAGTCAGTTTATTTTACATGTAGATGCTAAATGTCTCTTACAGGCCCACAAGCTCATTAAGAGGAAGAGGAAAAACACCACAAAAACAAATGTTACCAAATAACGAAATAATGGGAGACCCCCTTCCTCTGGATGTGGATGTATGCATGTAGGCCTATGTATTAGTATGTAGTTGTCAGCAAGTTGTAACATTAGAGTACAGAAACTGGAGTCAGTATGTTTAGAGAACGAGTGTCCAATAAAATAAGTAGGCTGAAATAAGAAGATACAAACAGCTGTCACAGTATTTCTATACTTTCTGGGAGCATGTGAAGCAGCCACTGCATATAAACTGAAATTAAGTGATACAGGTTTGGTTTTCTGGAGCTTTATTTTGCCAGCCTGGCATAAAAACTGCACCCATTTTGTAAAAAGGTTCGTAAATCTTTTGCAGTAATGTTAATTTAAGCAACCGGCTGATGGGCTAGACAGTCAAATCACTGTGCAGAGGTTTGCATGAGTCATCACATCACTGAGCAGCCTGCTTCTCTCTCGTCTCTACGTGATGGAGAGTAAAAATATTACAGTGTGAATAAATGAATAAGTTACTGATCTAATCGGTAGATTTTTTGTATAAATATACATTTATCTTGCACTAAAAAAAAAAAAAAGACCAAAATACCCCCAAAGTTCAACCTCCCTGAAGCCAGCGCGATGTGCACTTCCGGTGTGCCCTCTTTTCTACAACGTTAAAAGCCCCAGAAAGCTCGTATTTCGATAAAGTTAATAAAAATAACCTCATACAAAACACAAAACTGCTTCTAAAACCACATGTAAGATGTGAACTTTGTGTTTGGACGACATTTTCCGTGCCATTTCTCCGCTGACAGTGTTTTTTAATTATGAAAAACGCTGACCGGAATCTCGTGATAAGTTCCGAGATTCACGCTGAGTCCTTACCGACGTGAGACTCTCTCCTCCCTATCGGTGTCAATGTCTCCGTGTGTCTCTGAACCCTGATGGAGCCCGGTCGGGACATGTTTATATCAGCGCAGACAACATGAACACTCAGCTGTCCCCGGCCGGTGTCTCTGCTTTATACAGCTGCGTAAATATAAAAGAAAACACAAACAAATCTGATTTAAAAAATACAAAGTGTGAAACATAGCCGCCTCATTTTCAAGTTATTTCCTTTTTTTCCTCCATACTGTCCCACTGGACACCCGATGGGAGGGACTAAAGTGTGCATCACCTACGGGGAGCACAAATGAACTCTCCTCTGAGAAAATACAGGAATACGATGATACAATACTTTTAGCCTCAATGTGTGTGTGATATCTTTTTACCCCGCCTGTGGAATAGCAGTGTGTGCTGAGCCGGGTTGAAACTCAGAGTAAGTATCTTTTTGTAGGCCTAACTCGGACGCATATGTCACTGACTCTGTGTGTGTGAGCTGTCGCAGCATTGAACATCGTCCAGCTGCGGATTTAACACCACCGAGGCACGAATACATAGAGACAGTCGGTGTAATGTGTCAATAGCGTTGCCACCTCGGCCAGGTGTCTGTTCGTGGCGTGGTTTTGTAAATGGAGGTGTATTTTGTGTGTGTGTGTGTGTGTGTAATGCGCCGCTGTAAGAAACAGGGAATGGGTGGAGACGACAAAACTTCGCCTTCAGCATTTGAAGCCTCCACAGCCAGAGTGCCCTTGACATCCGGAGTGTTAAGACGACTTTAAAGATACACTGTTGCCACGGTGGTGTCCATAAAAAAAAAACAAAAATGGCTCATACATTATTTAGATGAAGAAAAACGTGTTCCGGTGAAGCAATAGCACACCCTAACAGACCTCACCCAAACTCCCATCAACTCTCACAATAGAAAGTGCGTGTTTCTCTTCAAAACTGTAATTTAAAACACCTTTTATGAAACCTGTTCACTTTTCACTCTCGCGTTAATGGGTTACAGCTTGTTGAGTCAGTCGGGAAGAATCCGTATTTTAGGCGACAACTGTGCAGATTTTGGGGAAATCCGGTGGTCCCCTGTACTGAGCAGGAGTTGACTCAGCACTGTGGTTTTAGTCATGTAGGAATTTATGACACACATTCCTGTCATTTGGTTGCATGTTTCAGAGTCTGGTGCCACGTGTTTTGCTCTTTAAAGGGCCCATGTTTGTATTGTCAGTACAAGATCACATAGGCTAAATTAGCATATGCAAAAACATAGCTCTCCTATAGGACATAGACATTTGTGTAGGTGAGGCTATTTTATTTAAGTTTACACATTTGTAATCAGTAGTAAAGAAGGTGCTGGTAATGTGCTTGAGTTAGAAAAATGCATGAATCATCTTATCTTATTATTATCTTATTATTATCTTATTAATCTTATCGTGGTAAATTTAGAAAATTGCTAAATAAGTTGTAAACTTCAGCCACTTTTGTGATGGTTAGACGCATAGAAACATCCTTTATGTAGACTTTCTTTGCAGGGTAACTTTACCAGGATGAATAGCCTTGTTTCACTGACATCCTCTGGTTAAAGTTTCACATGTTGTCAGAGGTGCTCAGTTTCCCCTGTCACCCAGCAGTGATGTCAGAGTGTATTGTGTGTAGTATTTTCATCTGATTATAGCAACTTTTTAATTATTCTGATGCTGTAAGTTTTTGTTTGTAGATAAAATAGACAATCCCAATGCAGATGAATGTGTCTGTGTGTTGCTTGATTATTCCCTGTCCCTGTGTTTCTAAATGTCTCCATCTACATTCCCCTTGTGTCAGCCAGGTGTCTTTTTTGATGAAAACAACCGAGAGTCACCAAAGTCTCCAAAAATCGGGGCTTTAAATCTCTCATGGCCTTATTAGTCTCTGCGGCTGGCAACATGAAGTGTTAACTGATCCAGATTTATTCTCATATGTCTATTTGGTGTGTAAGATGTGGCTCGCTTTTCAGTAATAGCACTCCCCTCTGGCCAGTTTGGCTCATGTTGTAGAGGACTCTGGGTGGGTGTAGTGTTGTATTTCACAGGTAGCCTGAACAAATAGTGCAGGCAAACTTTCACTCCAGCAAACAAAAAAATCTTGTCAAGTCAACCCTACACATCTCTTCCTTAAAGGCCAATCCAACATATCTCTCTCTAATCTCAATCTGCCGTGGTATGAAAACATTGATCTCTGTTTCATACATTTTATCCATCAGTATTTAGTTTTCCGCATGCCATACTGCACATTATGTGTGCTTAGTGGCACGTATGAGCTATCTGTTCATCTATCAGTAAACACTGAACAGAGAAAATCTTCAGACCAGAGAGCTCATTGTTTTGCCAACATATCTGTGTCAACAAACAGTGAGAGGGGAATTTAAGTGACAGGGTTTAATGTCAACTTACATGGCTGAAATGATCTAGGATTGGAAGTGGAAACAGCAAATAAACCCCACTTGTGACCCGTAACCAACCTATGTAATCAATATGAGCATTGTATGTATTAATCAATCATTCTATTTATCTGAATTTACAAAATGTAGAAGAGAGCCTCCTGTAACTGAGTCAGAGACTATTATCTCAGCTTAAATGCTCTTTTCCTAGGGCGCGTGGGGACTCATCTGGTGGAGCGTTAAGTCCTTGCCGCAGCGGACCGAGTTCAGTTCCGGCCCGCGGCCCCTTTGCTGCGTGTCATCCCCCCTCCCCCCCCTTCCTGCGTGTCCTCGCCTGTCCTCGCCTGTCCTGTCAAATAGAGGCACAGAAAGCCCCAAAATATCTTTAAAAAATGCTCTTCTGCTGTCTGTTACATCTTCTTTGTGATTGTGTACATTTTTAGCTGATGTTTTCAAACTGCGGATAATGTTAAATTACTGTACATCAGCAAAGAGCTCGGAGGAAACTTTTAGGTTTGTGGTCACCATTGGGTGCTAAAACAGAATCATAAGGAGGACCTTTAAAGAAAAACACATCTGAGTAAGATGAACGATCCCAGAATGACTGATTACTGCAGTCATATCACTTGACCTTTGTTTTTATTGCTGCCACTTAAAGGTCCAGTATGTAGGATTCAGTGGCATCTAGTGGTGAAGTTGCAGATTGCAACCCTTTGAATACAGCTCAGTCTTCCAAGTGTGTAGGAGAAACTAAGGTGTCTTTTTTTAGGATTTCGATTTGGTTCTCTCTCTCTCCCCCCTCCTCCCTCTTTCCTTCACACACACACACACACACACATTCTCCCTCCACTTTGCTTCGTTGCCCAGGAAACATTCAGCCATTCAAAGATATCTACCCACA